GTAATTAGATGCTCATCGAAGACGGCATTCTTGGCTTGTTGATTACCTTCGGGTTCTTCCTCATTGCTACATTTTCTCACGAACTTGGGAACCATGTTTCTTACATCTCGCGCCTCTGAAACTTTATCCACATCATCATCAACTCTTTCAAACCGAACTGCGCTCACTTTTCTGGCATTCCCTGCTAGTATCTGTCCATAAAGGCAGTTAGAGAACAAAATATGCTTTTGCTGAATAATGTGCAGAGCAAAGTTGCTACTACGAGTCAATGTACCTCTAGTCTATAAATTTGCTTCTTCTCCTTCTGATCTTGACGCTTGTGTTTACCCTCTTCTTGCTCATCATGATGCTCTTCCCAGCATTCCTTTTCGAGGACTACCATCACAGTCTCACCAGTCTTTGGGATATACCCAAAGGCCTCGCAGACAAAACCTGAGACTGTTTCGTACTGATGGCCCTGCTTGCAAATGAACAATTCAGGAAATGTCCATTAATAGAGATATTTTCTGCTTTCTAGAGGACACCTTGACGAATAGATTACCTCTGGCATCTTTATGTTGAGTTCTTCAGATAACTGATCAATCGAAGTGTTGGCATCAACATCATATATTCCCTCAGCTCTCATCACGATGTAACCCGTTTTCTTCTGAATCTCCTCCTACACAGCCCCAAAACAATGGAAGTGAGAAACTAATTGAAGAAATAGACCCAACCCTTGAAGCATATAAGTCTATATAAGCAACAAGTTAAGGACTAGGACACACTTACTTTTGAGTCGTTTTCATCAAATATTTCACCAACAATCTCTTCGACCACATCTTCAAGAGTTACTATCTGCATGGATAGAAATTAGATAACCTTTGAAAAGAGAGCAAGCGAGAAAAATAAATAAAGTGTATAAGAGGACGACCAGCAACATACTCCAATGGTTCCACCGTATTCGTTAAGAACAACTGCCATATGAACCTTTCTTATTCGAAACTCTCTAAGAAGATTCCAAACCGACATTGAATCTGCAAAGAATCAAATTTTCTTCTGTGTGAACAATTAGTGCCTAAGGTATATGCATCAAATTAAAAGACTGAATGCATCGATAATTACCAGGGACGAAGTATGCAGGTTTATGTGCCATGTCCACCACGGTTGTACTTTCTAGTAGTTCACCCTTCGAAACCAAAGAGAACTTATAAAATTCATTCAACACAAGTGCACAACTAAAATGTCCTCACACACAAGACACCATCAACAAAAGAAAACAAATACAAGAAAATGAAGCAGCAAGACCTTCGGGACGTAATCGAGGAGATCCATAGCATATGCAATACCAACTATGTTATCAATCCTCTGCTCAAAAACAGGCACCCTGTGAAGAAAATATTTATGAATAACGTATAATCCTACGAAACAAAAAAGGTTCATTAGAAAATCTGTGAAAATTTATAGACCTTGAGTACTGATGGGTCACCCAAAAGTCATGGAAATCAACTAGGCTGCCGCTGCCATCTATCGCGACTACGTCAATAAGAGGAGTCATCACCTCTCGAACATGTGTATCCTTTATCTCTAACACATTTTCAATCATATCCTGCAACGCCGTGTATCATTTGAATTATCACAAGTATATGGTTACAGACTCATCGAGAATCCATATTTAACGAGCTCATACCTGCTCTTCCTCTTCTATGGCCCCACTTAATTCTGCACCACGTAGCATTAGTTTCAGTTCATCTTCAGTAACATATGGCTCACTGACACAAAAATAACAATAGATTATAAATAAGTTCCATTAA